ATGATTACGATATGATAATTGAGCTTGCTAAATGAGTGATTGTTTCTTCGATGTCTCTCACTACCGTCATTAGCGACGTACAGTATAGGGCTTCAATTGCCATTTGGAAATGAAGCCAGGTTTACATGCAAAGGACATTTAAAACAAAAAGGGAACGTTTTTATTTTAAAAAAATCCCTAACATGTGTATTTTTAGTCACAGATATTTGCAATTTCACTTACCTTAATTTCGACCTCACCTCTTTCCAACATTTGAAATTCACCACATTTTAATAAATAATCATGTGAGGTTTTACTAACTTGAATTCGATTTGCTGCAATAAACCAAATACGTTATTGTTTGATTGTCAAAGTGTTTTACGGTGCATTATTACATTGTAAAAGTGAACATTAAGACGGACATTTGGGATAGGTGAGGGGGCTCGGTGGTACCAGTAAGCCACAACTTTTCTTAGAACAATTTAAAATAGTCAAAATTAAGCTGTTTTTATGTGCCAGTGGTCTTACAGTTAAGCCCCTTGAGCCCACCAATGTTTATTCCCTCGAGCATGGATGGCCCCCCTAACACTCGAGCTAATCCTGGTCGCACTACTGGATTGCGGTTAAAATGCCAACTACATAATTATAAACATTATTGTAATATTGTAACGCAAACGTAAACATTTGTAACGTAAACATTCTTGTATTATTTAAAATTCTAAATACAGTACCGGTATTGTAAATAGAATCACGAATGTGCAATTAACAATAGGCTTAATAGTGGTATGATTACAGTACTGTGGTTTCATGTTATTTATATTCCTATTCATTATCGGTATATACAAAATGTACGGTTAGGCCTGTGAGTCCATAAATTATTATGCAAACACAGCAAAACTTACGCTTCCCTCGAGTCTGCATTCTGGAAGCGGTATTTACTGTATCACCAAACAGACAATATCGAGGCATTTTAAGACCGACAACACCTGCCACAACGGGTCCTGAAACAAGAAAACTGTGATTGTCAAACCACGGATATTAGGCCTATACATAGGCGAGAACAGTGGCGGATTGGATCCAGAAATTCGTACAGGGAGCGACTTTCACAGATAGAGGCTCCACCCAGCTTAGCCCCAACAAGTTTGAGGGCTGAGATAAGAAATGGCACCTCTAGATGGCCAGAAATGGTGCTCAGACTTAATTTTTTTTATAAAATCTTCTTTTTTTCATCAATTAATTTTTTTATTCAGAAAAATGTAGTGGGGGGGGGGGAGGCGGCTGGGCCCTCTTGAATACGTCACTGGATAAAGTATAAATAAACGATGGAAATACACTTTTGGACAGCAACCAACATGTACATCATACTGTACATCATTAAATTACAAAGAAATATTGACGTTCCTTGCTGTTTGAAAAACACTGTGAAAATATTGTTGTGTCGTCAAGACACATACCGTATATAATTGTTCTATACAATTAATTATTCAAGATAAGATATTTTTATGCTGTAACAATAGAAAATGTTTAAAAAAATAACTACGGATTATAATTTTTTTTAAAATCATGATTAATAATTAGTTGAAGATATTTAGTGGAAGATCAGTATAAAATTATCAATGGAAGTTAAACTCCTAAATGAATAGCATTGTGTCCTTATGTTTTCAAGTTATACTATTATCCCAACATTTCGTTACACCTCTCCATTGAATAATAGTTATTTTAGTTCATACATCAGATGAGTTCATTTAAGCTATTTACCTTACAATATAACCAATTATTTATTATCCAATGCAGGTGTCTCGAAATTATAAATATAAACTCCATATAAATACTAGTAAAAATAGAAATTCGTAAAGTGAATGATACGTGTACAAAAATAAAAGAGGAAAACCACTATAACTCAAAGAGATTGATGTTACAATATATTTAGACATCTTTAGAGCAACTGGAATGGGAATGAAGTTAACTATATGCTTATAACTGCATTGGTACAATTTAAATCATCACAATAATTTAAGTCTTATTTTTAAATGCACAAATTAAAATTTTATAAAAATCATTTTCCGTTACTCCCTATTGGATACATTCAGTTCTAATATATTTTTTAAAATATTAACAGCAATTAAAATTATAGTTACAATTACAATCATAACTATCTGATATTAACTCATTGTACTCTGAGTTATCAAAATGCTTCATATCCTCTCAGTGCTTCATATCCTCTCAGTCTACTTTGAGTTAACAATACGGGTGGCAGCACATCATAACCTCCTGTTTCCTAATCCACTACCCCACTCTGAATAGGATGGGACGAAGCTTTAAAGCAGTTACAAGGCTTATGGTCATTAAACTTATGGAACTTAAAACATCAATACTGTATATTATTCTACCATTTTGCATTAAAAACATTGTATTTTTCTCACACATAATTTAATATATAAATTGCGTGATTTGGTCATTATTAATTAATAATACTAACTTCTGTGTTCAGTTATAGCATTGTCAAATCTCGGTGCTTGTCTGGGCCCACTCTATAACCTGTTAGGTAAAGGTAGGAAATAACCTGTGTCTTGCAGCTTTAACTGGGCTGGAATGCGCACAGGCGTGGACCAACTCAATCTACAACTTTCTTCTCCCCAAGGGGCACACCATGTCCGATCAGCTGCCAAGAGGTGCACTTTCGTCTGTCCACAACGACAGGGGCTGAATGGACCCATGGGTGTATGCAAGGGACATTTTTTTTCTAGGGCCTTTTTCACAATGACATAAATGAGTAAACATTGATGAGGTACCAGCAATGAGTCTAAAGACCTTGCCAATTACGTGACGCTCAATTCCAGCAATTCTGAAATTGAGCCTGCCATCCGCTTCAAGGTGGTGGCGCTGTAATCGATTTTCCTGTCTCCCACTGAAAAGGTCCAAACAATTATGATCACGACCCACCCAGAAAAAATACTGGCTATCCAATCCAATTGTGTACACTACTTCTTACAGGCCTGAAAAATGATGACGATAACCGTATTGGTTATTGTTTTTGTAAGCTCGCAAAACCTCCCTATTAAGAAAAAAAAGAACAAATACATGATAATTATACCTGAATGAATTCCAATTCTGATCTGGAATATCGTGTGCATCTTGTCGGGAACCTCGAGGAAACTTGTGTGGTAGAGTATGTCCAATGCAGCAGTTGCAATTTCAATGACGTGCTTATCTCCATTTCTTTCAGGTAGACCTTATGAGTTCAATTAATAGTCAAACATATATTTTTCAGTAAAGTACTTTCGCAAATTCTATGCCTAATTGGTTTTATTATATTTAAAAAATAGATATGACTTTTCATTCCATAGCTTACGGTACATTTACAAGACGATGTGGTATATATTTACCTGTTTACTGAAAACATAAGTTGTATATATTTAATGTTTAGTAATGTTAGATTATTATAGTATGTACTCCCATGCTTTCACACATGCAGAAATAGGTCTATTTTTATTCAAACACACATCTACATGTTAAGCAAATTCTAAATATCTAATCAAACATACCGGATGCCAGCATATATGTTTCATTGATCGTTTCAACCTTGTATACATCATAGTTTTCTATCCTCGAATCAAAAACTGAATACAGACCATTCAGCATTTGGACAACCTGAACAAAAAAAGCATTTATGTATTTATGTATTTAGTTTAATAACTTTTGGTAATGGTAATGGTAGTTACATGTTTGGAATGCCGGATGAGGAAGGCGAGTAGACAGATTAAAATTTCAGTTATTCAGAATGTTTTTCAGGAGAAATCGAAGAAGGATCGAGAGAGAGGGAGAGGGGAACAGGATGTGTGACAAGGAAGAGGAAGAAAGGCGGAGTGTCGGGAGTCGTGGAGAGACGGAAGAAGCGGAAGAAAAGGATTTAATAGAGGACGGTTTTTGTATTGAATAATTCGACCAGGTTGAACAGAATTTGAGGAGTGTCGTAAAGGTGAGAAAGTCGAGTTCTTCCAGACAAGAAGGGTAAGAAGCCGTGTAAAGAAGAGGCAGACAGAAGCTTACAGAAAAGATAGCATTCGATGCGCAGGAGATGAGTAGGTGGTGCTGGGAGTAACAGCGCAAGACAATCCTTTATTACTATCTTTAACGTGCACATGTTATGCACGCGTGCAGACGTGCCATTATCGTATTGCATACGGAACCAACGGCTTATACTTCTCTTCCGAATTACGGTGCGCTTTTTATACCTGCACATTTTAACCCTGTATCTGAAAAGCACAAGGGGAGCTGCGAATTTAACCAAATGTATTAGTATATTATATACCGGTAATTTAAAAAGATAGGATTTGAGCCGAGATATGTATACAGTCAAGATAAAGTGTTTAGAAGTTGGTTCCAAGGCTTCCGGGCAGCTAAAGAAAAAGAAACATCACATGAAGGAGACCGACCCGGACAATTAGGGATGATGATGTAAAAGAGGCAGATCTCAATTTGCAAGTACACAGCAGCCGGAGCACGGTGAATTATATATTTAAGGTGTAATTAATTAAGTAATTAATGGGATTTGTATAGCACACATGTATGTATCAACCGATATGTTAAATTATTGAGAGTACGAATTATTAAATGATAAGCTTACCTGTAAGGGAGTAATTTGATTACAAAGCTGATTAAATCCAACGATATCAGAAAAAAAGATGGTTGCATTATCAAATAATTCTGCTTTAACATCCATATTCATCATCAGTTGTTCAACGACAGTTTTCGGTAGCATGGAGTAGAGCAGCCAATTAGATCTCTTTTTCTCCTTGTTTAGATCTTTTGTCTGCGCAGCCAGAGTCAAGGCATAACTCTGGATATCTGTAGTAACGGTCCATATTGATCGAAGCGTGAGTGGACAGAGGATTGAAACGACAACTACAACAATAGTGCTAACAGCAATGGCTTTCTGATCCCCCTTTAGTTCGTGATTCAGCCTGATGAGAATTTCTTCTGCCATGTCCTTCTGTATATTCTCAAACACGTTGATATATATTGTCATAAGCTCGAACCAGCTTTTTGCCTCGTTAAAATTTGGGCTTCTCATGTCAGCATTGTTTCGGAGAATCATACGTCTCATGCCCTCAATCACTTGTGTCACATTCAGATCAAGCTGCTGCATTTCTTTGTAATAGAAATCTGAAACTAATGTAGAATAGCTCATTGATGCTTTAAAGTTCCATGTTCCTACGTTAAACTTATCGAGATACCAGACAAAATCTTCGTGTTCATCGAAACCTCCTAGCGTAAAGAAAATCGAACCCAGTGTCCGTTCAATGCCCATGTCAATATTGCTGACAATGAGGAATTGATATGCTACTAATGTCTGCCACATATCATGTCCTTTGGAATTTCCAATGCTTTCATACAGCCAGTCAATAAAGATCTGGAGGAGCTCTGTGTAAAATTCGATTTCCGTATAAACGGTTGTATTGCTGCGATGTAAATGTTGACGGTGATAGTCTAGATGTAACTTGAAATCTTCCTTTTTGCGAAAGAATTTGAGTTCTTTTAAGACACTTGTCTTTACTGGCCAGCTATTGAGAGACTCGAGTGATTCATCGGTCAGTGGATACGTCTCTGTGAGATAAACTTTGTCTTCAGGTCCAATTAGGCTCACGTAAAGTGCTGACATGTCTCTTTCTCTTTGTAGCTGACTGAGAAGAACGCCAATGTCTCGACTGAATCCAATAACATTTCGAACTTCAGTGTCGATGCTATTTGTGTAGAAGATGCTGTGCAGATTGATGATAGCGAGAATAGCCAGAGACAAGATGGGAACCAGTGTTAAGAACAACATCTTTGCCAACTGTATGCGCTTTCCCTTACCCGTCAGAGGATTTTCACGACATTTTGATATGCTGTTTGGGTGACGTAGAAGATCTCGTACAGTGCTGGGCACATGTGACAGTGAATCGAATGAGGACTGCGAGTTAAAAATAACATCGTGTACCTCCCCACCAGAAATAGTATATGTGTTCATGCCTCTTTATCTGAGAAAAACAATTGTTAACCGAATTATAAATTAATTATTATTTATAGGTCTCATAACATACCTATGTTACGTTGGAGGACATCATCACTAGTAACAGTTATGGGTTGGTGAGATTCTATTTACGATATAAACTTTCTTATATAAAGCCCGACGGGACCTACACTGCGTCAGACCGTCGCGACGGTCAACGCGTTCATCTCCGCTCTCTATGAGCGTTTGACGTCGCGGTGCCGTCTGCAGATTGTCAATGGCGGCAGACCATTGAGGAATAAATTTAAACTTATTCCTCTATGGGCAGGCTGACCGGATTGCGTTCTCCAAAGAATTTAGGTCCCAAGTCTCCGCAAGTCGTGAAAATCGGGACGGCCTTCCGCACTCCCGCAAATATGCACGAATCTTTCGGAAAATGTCCCATCGTCCGCAATTTCATACTATAATAATAATATTTGCACGATTTTCTAATTTATTAATTAATTGTCTCACGGAAATCGGTGATGGTGGGTATCACCATGGACAGAAAAATAAAGTTACGTGTGTTAAGAAAGCTCATTTAACCAGGTCTCCCGGGAGGGTGACTTTTTAAATTTGGGTCCCCTGGCCGTGTGTGCCAGGCTTAAAAAGAGGTTGTCAAAGCCCCTGGTCAAAGTGATCTTCGTTGTGTGTGCGTCGAGAACTAGTGCATCCATAGCGTGATCGATTGCTTGGAATCGGATGTGCATTTTCAACCAAATAATAATAATAATTTCGTACTTCTGGGTTATCCTTGGCGTCCACACCCAATAAATCTAATCCAATCCAACTATTTAGCCCTCGGAAACATTGATATATCAAAAAGATTCATATGGACCTTATTGTTAGTTCTAGATGTAATACATTTTTTTGAAAAGATTAATTAAAATGGCCGTCATAGAAACAAATCTTTTAAAGACATTTTGATAACGTAGGCGGAACTATGCTATCAGCTTTGGCTAAATTAATAAAATTTTGGAACTTCATTTATCAAATGATCTCCATTATCTGCAATACGTAGACAGAGATGGATTAAATGCAGCTGCATTGTGGTTATACTGCACGTTAAATGCATATTATTCATTTGCTCTAAAACCGATTTGATGTGGGCCAAGTGATGTCAAAAGCGAATGTGCCACTACTTTATCAGTAACTTAAAACACCATGGACGATGTCGATAAGGCTACATACACGTTCATGTATACGTAATTAAGTGATCAGCACACAGGAAGATAGTCTCTACCCACTGTATTCATACACATTTTAACGTCCTAATCCTACAGAAACGGTACCATAACTAGAGTAAATTGTCTTTATCAAAGGGCATAAGCGGGCTTTGAACCAGGAAACTTGTTTCAAAGTCTGCACAGGTTATAATTCAAAATATATTATCCGTTGCACCACTGGACACTAAATGGACCCCTGGTAAATATACTGAGGTATATCAAACACTAATATGGATAATTATTTATATGCATGATAGCCTCAATATTTGTCGAAGGCTAATGCTGTTGCTCCATCCGTGTTAAGGAAAAGTTTCTTCTAAATTTGTGTCAAATATACCTTGTGACTGTGTCCCTCCCTGTTCTTAATCTCCTGAATGCAATGCAAAAAGGGACCATGAGTTTAAAATTTAAAACCACGAGATAACAGATGTTTTAAAAAAACGTCCATCCAACTGATGAAGCCTATTGAGTGTGTTCCTTATAGGTTCCTCAGGTGAAACAAATGTATGTGAAACTCCGACTGATGAGAATATTCTGAAGAGAATAATAATTAGCAATGTCTTGGAATTGAATCGTAAATTGCATATACATCACCCAGAGAATAAGTAAAGCACTAGTCGAGTAGATATTACATTACATTTTATTTTTCAATTCTTTTCTGTCCAATATTACCTTTTCAGTTAAACCTTTTCTCTCATGCTGTTACCTATTTATTTTTTATTTATATTTTTGTTTAATTTAATTTTAATATAATCTTAGGCCTACTTGTAATCTGTTCAGTTGCTAATCTTAATTCTTGTTAATGTTGTTTAATGTTATATAATTATTAATTTGTAAATTACCTAATGTGTAATTTTCTATAATTTTTAATTGTAAAATATAGTAGCCAATTTTTCAATTTACTTGGTCTGTTGTGCAATATTTTTTAAGGTAATTTTTTTGTCGTTTCTTGTACTTTTGTGTCCTCTCATTCATTTTATTCATCTTCTCCAATTTTAATGTTTCTCTTTCTACTTGTGTCTTCATTCTTTCTTCGTTTCAATATTTTTCAATAGGCCTATTATTAATAACTTCGTACCCGATAATTTTAATCAAAAGTGTATTTTGTGTGTTTTGAATTGTATTATTTGGTCTTTTTAGTGTAAGTATTTTTAATAGTAAATTTGATGTAATTCAACTACCAATATAGCTGCGAATCAAATACTGAATAATTGAAATTCAAATTGAATTGAAAAATTATGATGTATTTTATTATTCTAAAATCATAATTTTCTCGACTCCTCCCTCAGTGGTGTAAATTTCGATTACTCTTCTTCCAAGGACCATGGAAGGTCCTCCATGCAAGGACCCACTACCACGAATGTAATATGCTGTACATTTTGTTTATTTAGTTGTATGGAAATCATTTCCGAAATAAGATATTTAATGAATGAATAATGGCCACTACTGTATAGTGATAGCCTTTCATGTTCTAAGCATTTGAGTAACCGCTTAAGTTTAGTTGTTGAAAGAAGACACTAGCTGCATTAAATATCTTAAAACATCTTAAATATAAATGCCCAGTCATTTAAACATTAACCATTTTATTCTACAATATACCTTTATACTTAAATAATAATAGAAATAATAATAATAATGATAATAATAATAATTATTAATATAACGTTGATGTGATGATCAAGATGTAGAATTTTAGGTGATAAAGATGATATTAAGATAATAATAATAAGAATAAATAGCCTATAATAATAGTAATAAATACAAGAATAATATATGACAATGATAATTATTTTAATAATAATTATAATGATAATGAAGACGACGATGAATATATGATAATAATAATTATTTTAATAATAATTATGATACAAGAATATTATTTTTGTTGATGAGGACGATGATAATATCTATAAAATGATCAAAGCATACCTGTAATTCAAACTAGAAATCCTGAATATATCACCTTTGGTTTCGGCGTTTATGAAGACAAAATGTATTTAAGTATCCTGCTCTCAAACTTCTGCTTTCTTCTGTGTTTTCTTCAGGGTGTGCGTACGTCTGTGTGGAGCGAATCAGTGACTGCAAATCGAGGGTCACCTGGTTATAAAACGCTAGCTCGGAATTTGTATTGAGGCCTATACATCATAGGTAAACATGTAAAACCAGTTGCGTAAGATGAACCCATGTCTGAAACCATAGAAACCTCATTTGCATCCGCATGTTTAACATATGATATGGTTTCGACTTGATTCGCAAAAATACTCTAGTCCTACTAATTAAAATGATTAAATCTCAAATTAGACACTTAACACACCGAACATAAGGTACGGTAACATTTTTAAAAGGAGTGTCTAATTTAAATATTCTGTATATCATAAATGATTTTAGGTCTAATACGGTACTAAGTTTTGTTTGTAAGAAAAAAGAAATAAGAAAAGGAAGATAAAAAGAAAAAAACTTGATCGCCCAAAGTGCTTCTTTATTTTCGAGCGTATATATAGAACACCAAATTTTCGCGCGGGCATGCCCCGGACCCCTAAGGTAGTGTTATCTCGATCGGCCCCACTTTCAGCCCCCCTTTCGAAAATCTCTGGATCCTCCCCAGTGGTGGCGCCAGGACCTGCCCGACGGAGGGGCTAAAGGCCCCGACGGGGGGGCTAGTGGAACGAATCGAGTCTCACTTGGCTTTTGGGCCAGGGGGCCGCCTAGGGCCCCCGGTGGGGGTCCAGGGGGCGAAGCCATGGATATTTGATGAATTATGGCGAATTTTTATTACTTATTTGATAGGTATCGAGTTACTATAATATGACTACATGTAGGCTATGCTTTCTAATGTTGAAATCAGCTTCCAAAACCAAAACATTTTGAATAAAGCGAGAAACAAAGTGTATGCAATGTAACCATCTAATTTATTTTCAAATCCTCATTCTTGAAAGTGAAATTCTATATTTTGGAAATTTTGCATGAAATCTGTCAACCACGCTGTCATGGTCGAGGTTGCTTCACCTATCACGATGTATTCTAACCATCATGAGACTATCTAAATGAGCATTTGTCATAACAGAACGCAAATTATTTTTAATTAGTCTCATTAAATTATTATTATCATTATTATTATTATTATTATTATTATTATTATTATTATTATTATTATTATTATTATTATTATTATTATTATTATTATTATTATTGTGGTTGTTGCTTTTGTGATGAAAAGTTAACACAAACTATATGGTGGCTAAACGAATATTACATGTAAATATTTTTTTTTAATTGTTTGTTCCCCGGCAAAATTTATCGTCTTCCCCGACTGGAGGGGGGGGGCTATGCTTCCCCGACAGGGGGGGGGTATAGCCCCCCAGCCCCTCTGGCGCCACCACTGTTTACCAGCCAAAATACAGTAGCGTAACGCATTTGTAATAATGTTTAACACTGGAACCCCTTCCACATAAAAACAAAGAACAAACTTTCTTCTTTTTATTTTTGGGCATATTTAATTCTACTGATTTTACTGAGCAGTCACTGGCAGAGATATCTAAATTAGGGCATCTATTGCCTTCCTTGTCCTTCTCTCGATGTTATGAATGCAGCTTTCCATTGAGTGAACACATTTTATTCATGAACTTGGAAAAAAAATATGCAATAGCCATGATGATTATTTTTTACCGCATTTTTGGGCTGATGTAAAAATTGAATTTCTAAAGAACAGTGTTTTGTAGGGAACAACTATCATTATAGTAAATTATTGTTGTTTTTTTTTTATAATTACCATTGTGTAAAGGGACTGCGCAATGGCTGCTTTGGTAAAACTGACAGGCTCATTAGCTCAACCCGCCCTCGATAAACTATACGGTACGATTTATTGGGTTCACATTTAGATCAGTGGCACCCATCACTTATGGTGCACCCATTAACAATATAAAATATAAGCCAAGGAAAGCAAAAGACAGTTCAAAAACAACAAAAGGATAAATAGCATAACAAAAACAAAACCAAGCAATTTACAGTAAAATTTTACCCTTATTATCTAAAAAAAAAAAAAAAAAAAATTCTTACTAAAATATAGTAAGTAAACTGAATGAAACACACTGAGCTGCACAACAACCTGTACTTAGAAGTCGTGTGACGTTACCGGATTATGTATTTATTTTATTTATTTATTAAATTTCTTTTTCTACGGACCAGGGCAGAATTAAAGTCAAATTCAGTAAAATATTACAGGTTCTTGTACAGCTAACGTTACGTTATCACACTATATTAATTGGATTAACACATAATGTGTGTTTAACACTGGTGTCCTTAGATTCATTTATAGGTGAACGGACTAGTTGCCTTTTTTATGAGGTTTTAATTGTTCTTTACCGCCGAAAGTGCGGTATTCTAACGTTAGTTGTAGGAGGGCTGGTCGGCCTAATGTCTGTCTCTTATACACATCTCGAATATTACATGTAAATATTTTTTTTTAATTTGTCTGTTCCCCGACAAAATTTATAGTCCCCCAGCCCCCCCCCCCCCCCCCCCCCCCCCCCCCCCTTCTTTTTTTTTTTTTTTTTTTTTTGGAAAGTCAAAATAAATAAAGAAAGAAAAGGAAAAAAGAAAAAAAAAAGATAAAAATGATCGCCCAAAAAGCCGGGGGGGGGAAATTAAGCCCCTGCTCCCCGCTGGCGTCGCCACTGATGTGGGTAACAGAATGACTTTAATTGCTGTTCCCAATATTATGCAAATAATTCTAGAAAATAATAATATTAATATTGTCGATCTGCATACATGCATAGGGCCACACGGTATGTTCAAAATGGCCTTTGGAACGTTGAATGTCAGTAACTGATATGAATTTATCGGTCTAGTTTGTTGGCATAATGAGCCAATACCATCAATAAAATAGGCTTAGGGTATACCGAGTAACAATACCTTCCAGATCAGTTGAATGGTCGGTTAGTAGGTTGTGAGGGGCCCTGGTTCAAAATTACAGTTGAGGCGCTTGATGCATGCAAATTGCATGCTAAGACGTCTACCAACACCGATAGGTTAGGTAGTTTAAAAGCAGGGGTTCCGATTTTTTTATAAAAATAAATCTTTCGATTTTTTAAAGATGTTCTCAGAGGGCTTGACTGATGATTTAAATTTTAATTTTATTTGATTTATTCGCATCTCATAAAAATACAATCATTAAAACGATTCACAATGTAAAAAGCATAAAATTCATTAGTAAAAGTTACCTAAAAAACAAGCAATAGGCCAATATTATAGCCCAAGTTAGATTGACCATAATAATAATTATAAGATTTGTTCTTCTTATGACCAAAAGAAAATTACATTCGATATTTATTGAATTGGTGTTATTTATCGGATTGACCATTGAACAATGTCAATAATTATCTTGAATTGGTTTTTTATATACTAAAAAAAACTTGATGGCTATTGAATCACAAATAGAGATGATTTTACTGTTATTTTTGTTACAAATTGTATATAAACTGCATAATAGTTCTATTTTAAATATGTTGATTGTTAATTGTAGGCATTTGGATGTTTTAACATTTAAGCATCTGGCATCCAAAACTGATAGTGGAAAGTATTGTATTCAAACTAGATTTACTCGTATGTGGAATGGGCTACCTGACAACATTAGAAATGCTTTTTTATGTGACAGCTGGTCAAATTTTTAAAAAAATTTAAAAAAAAAAAACATTTTAAAGATATTGGCCTACTTAATTCTTAGGTATTCTTGTATATTTTTATATTCTATTGCATGTTTTTTGTAGGCTTTGAGTGTTGGAGTGGCACACCTCTTGGCGACAGAAGTTCTCTGACCTCTTTTGCCACTCCACGGCGCATTCAAAGTTGTTTCGTAGGCCTATTTTAAAACAATGGGGTCTATTGCGAAATCATAATTTGTTCAAAATTTAATCGCTTATCACTGCCATAACTAGATAAATTGAGTTGTTAATACCTCCATTAAAGATAAAGTGCAAGAAACACAAACACATTATATAAATACAATATGAATAATAATAATGACATTTTAAAGGCTTAGTATATTTATACTAGTACGGGTATTGTAAAATACATAACGTATAAAATGATGTAGGCCTAATTAAATAAAACATTGTGTTATGAATACACAGGCGCACAATACGCTGTGCATTATTTAATACATTATAAATACTGTACAATAAATAATCCTACTATAATTACACAACGTGCAGGGTATTGTGAAATATAAACAATAGGCCTATGTTACGAATACACATGATGCAATATGCTATCATTATATTTACAAATAGGTCTACCAATTAATTATTACCATGGAGTTTTGAGTAACATACTGCTGGTACAATTTTAATTTTACTTATTTGCCGGACCCCCAAATTTTTATAAGTATTTAATTGTTATTTTACATTTATACTTCTAAATATTTTTAAAATCATCTAATTTACGAAAATTAAGTATTGTCATTAATTGAAATGTACATAGGCAATACAAAAACAAGCGCATGGTGGATTTTTGTTTAAATATATAACATAAATAGACAATGTGATGTGAACATTAATAATAAATTCATATAAGCCTAATTATTTTAAAGGTATCCGTATATATTTATTTAAAAATGTTATATTATAATTGTTATATTATAATTGAGAAAAACTGGTCCGGCCAACCGGTGCGGTTCGACGGCCCTGATTTTTCCTCGCAAGTATAACGGCGGACGTGATTACAGTTAGAGCCAAAAATGGCCCCCATGGTCTATGAAAGCCACGGGGTCCCCGGCCAAGGCGTTACGCCAGTCGCTGGAAGGTACCAGATACAATCGTTCAATGTCACAATAAAACATTACTTTGTGAGATTTTTCTTTATAAATCGGGGGCCCCTGGAGCTCGAGGACCCAGGTTCAAAGAACCTGTTGAACCTGTGGTACGCCACTGTTGGTTGGTTGTTTAGATGGGTGGATGGTTGGTTGGTTGTGCGGTTGGTCGGTCTGTTGGTCAGTTAGTTGGTCGGTCGGTCGGTAGGTTGCATTGGTTGGTTAGTTAGTTGGTTGTTTGGTCTGTCTATCGGTTTTGTTGGTCGGTGTGTTAGGTGGTTGGTTAAGTAATAAATATTTGTTAATCATTTATTTTCACTGATTGGAAAAATAATTATTTTTATTAAGAATGTAGGCCTATAAAATTTTCAGAAATAAATAATAGCTCAAAACACGGCAGTTTGCATTTTTCGTATAGTTTACAATTTCATGTAGGCCTATCACATAAGCATTTCGCTTGTAATCTATTGTATAAAAAAGGATATTATATATTATAAACATTCAGCATATTAAATAAAATAATTTGTTTAGACCTTAGGCATATCAAACTGTTTTTTTTTTGTTTTTTTTTTTTGTTTTTTTATTTTTCAGGTTGAATTGCACGTACATCTTGACGGCGCTTGTCGACCAAAGTCGATATGGGATATAGCAAAGTAGGTTGGAGTCTTAATATAATTGTATTTTGAAGCCACAATACTTTCATCACAAATTTGGCTTGTAACGGGCGCCAATTTAAAGATTCTCGCAGTAAATTCGTATGTGAACTTCAATGAAATTTGTTTAGATATTTTTCCTCTTATTTTTAGTTGTTGTTTTGATAATTGATTTTATTAAATGAAAAATTCATTTATATATCCATTGCCCAGTAGAATGGTATTGGAAAGTTTGTCCATACTTCACAACTAACATAAATGTATTATATTTTAGGAGGAGAGATATGATTAAAACCTTGGACATTCAGTCCATGGAGGAGTTCATCTCAAAGCTACGGGTCACCGGCTCGGGATCACTTCCCAAATTCGTACGATCGTTTGATATCTTTTTGCCAATACTACGGTAAGTTGTTTTTTTTTTCTTTTTAATAAAATATTAACTGTATAATGTGTATGCTTAATAGTGTATGATAACATGAATAATATTGACAATAATGTTTGATATTGAATTATTGAATGCTGATTGAAAAAAAAAACTATTAGAACAAGTGGTATGCTATACCGTATACTCACACCCCTTTGGCCTTTGGTTCTTCCCTGGCTACAGCCACGACTCGCTTTCCTCGTATGAATCCCACTTGACTCTGCCCATCATAATTATCATTTTTATCATTATTGTGTTCAAGGTCATCATCAGCATCATCATCATAATCATCGTTAAAAGAAAACCTCTAAAATTTCGACGAAATTCTGTGATTAATCGAGTCTGCTCAGAATGCATGAAAGGGCATTTCCTATAATATAGTAGACAAAGCGACTCGGACTTCCGTCTACTGGACATGCATAACTTTCTTTCGGGACCCTTTTCCTCCTCCATCGGAAAATCCTGCCACCACCAACAGAGAACTTGAAATGCTTTCTTTGTAGTTTTTGGACAAAAATGATTCATTGTTTTAATGTATTAATAATAAAACTATTGATGTAACTCTCTATTACAGTGGCGACAGACAAGCAATCAAAAGAATTGCTATTGAATTATGTGAAGATAAAGCTAATGAGGGCGTAGCATATTTTGAAGCCTCGTATTGTCCCCACTTACTGGCGGATGATGATGTTGGTGTTAGTGTAGAGGAAGTGGTCCGAAACGTTAATGAAGGCTTTAGTGAAGGTTACAAAAAATTTGGCGTAAAAGCCAATAGTATACTCTGTATGCTGATAACTAAGCCAGGTACGTTTTATTGTTATACCATGGAGGAAATATATACCTGCATAATCTCCATCGGTTCTCATTGCTCGATCTTACCTTCGTTCTGAACTTGATCCTTTTATACTATACACACCTAAAACAACAGGGGCGGATCCAGCGGTGGACGTGAGGGCCCGTGTGCCCCCCCCCCTCCCGTCAGTCAAGCCGAAAAATAAAAAGAGGGGGGAAAATTTGAGTTAAAGAGAGGAAGAGCTAAAAAAGGAGTGCACCTATGAGTTCAGTGGCGATACAGCAGTAGGCGAAAGGAGAGCTCGATTATTTACCACTTATTGGTGGGTCTGAGGTGGGCGTGGCGGCGTGAACTTCATATTGTGCCTCCCCCCCCCCCCGTCAGAAAATCCCTGGATCCGCCCTTGAACAAACTTAACATCTGTCCCTGAAGGTTTTTATGCATTTTCATCTCTTCTCTGGAACCAACATCGTACCGCCATCCGTTATGCTCCAACTCTTTCTGAATTCAAATTTCTTCTTAAAACTGACCTTTTCCATAGTTCATACTTTTAAGCGCTGTGAGACTAGCGCTATATAAATGCTTAAATATTATTATCATTATTATTATTATTATTATTATTATTATTATTATTATTATTATTATTATTATTATTATTATTAATATTATTACTCGAACCAGAGAATTGTTTCCATAATAATATAAAGCAAACGTTCTCTGGTGGTCATGGGTACAACAGGAATTAATTACTGTTGAATAAATATAGCATTATACAGTGGTTCCCTGTGAATACATACCGTGCTACTACAACTATTGCTGGGTATTGTTGTTTTATTGTAACTAGAAATCCTATCATAAACCGCTACATTAAAGTAAAATGTAACATCATCAACCCCTTGATAATTTTGAGTCTGCCGATCTGCCGGTCTTAATGTATGTTTTCTCAATAATTATAAATCAATAGTGTGAAAAAATAGGCCTAGGCTATATTTATTTTCAATACGATTACAGAATGGTGCGTGGACGTCGTGCGTCTCTGCGACACGTACAGACACCATGGTGTGGTCGGAATTGGACTAGCTGGGAATGAAAATGAACCTTTAGACAAAGAATACTTTGATAACATGAAGGTAGGAAAAAATATATCAACCTTCAAGAAACCAGTCAGCTAGCTGTGGGCGGATGCAGAGTGGGGCAGACGGTAGGATCGCACCCCCTAAATGGTATTAAGAAAAATAATTCTTGTAGGCCTAGTACCGCGACCGGTAAGATCAGGTATGAGAGTGCAATTTCCGGGCACCTAAGTCCATATTCTCAAAATGTTCTCACATCATCTCCGACCATGGTGGTGCTGAGAAGGTGTCGATTCTCACGCATCCCTACCGCTAAATCCTGCATCCGCCCCATGTTAGGCATATTCATATACCGGTATTATTTTGAGACCAAACTGTTTTTAATAGGCCTACACAGTCGATGGTGTACCTGTACCACTGAGGCTTCGTTCGGAATAACTGAATTTTCAAACTCTTGCAAATAACGTGGAACATCACTAGTTCTCGATGCATGGCAAAAAATAAACATCGATCAATTTTATGATATGGCCTCATCTTCAGCATTTAATACTTTTTATGAATGATTAACATCTATGTACCATTATTTATGTAATAGGCCTTACAACTACCTTGTGATACTGCTTATTGTAGTGCTTAAATGAAATATTTGTTGTAATTTACACATGCTTTACGGTTTTGATTACAGAAGAAGGTGTGAGTTTACGGGTGTGTGTAGGTGGGGTGGATGGTGCGGCTTTGTGGGTTAAGATGATGAAGAGATGTCGAATGCGACTGATGGAATACCGTCAAACCTCGAATTGAAGCCCGGGTTTCTTTTTTTTTTGTTGCGAACTTTAGATGGGCTTCTTTTCGAGATAGGCTTTATTTCGAGATGTGCTTTTTTTAGAGGCCACTTTTTCAAAGTAAAGAGGGGGGGGGGGCTTCTTTTCAAAATGAGTACTGTAAATTTTGCGAATTTGTACTATAAAACAATAAATACGGCCACTGTAACATCAATCTGTATCATGGAGCGTATTTAACTGACATTAAATCACCTAAACTACTGTATAAACCAAGCTTGTTTTTAATATATTTTTTCTTGAAATTCATGTACAGTATACGGTGTATACTGTACCGGTACTGTCTCGAAAACAAGATATAGGCCCTATGCTATCTTATAAAGAAGCCCATGGGCTTCTTTTCGAGGCTAATTTTGCAAACTAAAGAGGGGGCTTCAATTAGAGATGGGTTCATCTCGAGATTAAGCCCACTGGGCTTCAATTCGAGGTTTTACGGAATGTTACATATTTGGAGGGAATGTTTGCATAATAAATACGGTATCACCAGCCTATGGGGATTTCTCTAACCAATTTTAAACAGGCTTACTGTATATTTCTAATTTGCACTAACATTAGGAAGCACTTCGACTCAACATAAAGAGAACAATACACGCAGGAGAGACAGGCTCAACCTCCAACGTCCGACGAGCGATTGAAGTATTTAAAGCCCAACGCATCGGACATGGATACAGCTGTGTGAAAGACGATAGTGTTTACCAGGTAACCACACTATACAACATCTTATTCTTAATGGTCCATTTTCGATATTATAATGTATTCCTTTCACGATGTATCACCTTTATTAGGCCTATGATCTAATATATTTGATTGTATTCAGAAGTTTACGAAATATTTATTTGTTTAAATTAAAACATTATGTTGTAGTTAGTAAAGGCAAGCAAAGTACATCTAGAGGTGTGTCCCACATCTAGCCACATTCTTGGTTCGGTCGATAGCGATTATTCCAAGCACCCTGCAATAAGGTAAGATCCATTATTATATTGTGAGTGCCGTTTCGTGCATTTTTTTAAAAGAATGTCACTATGCATTGTTTCTTTGCTGTACCGGTAGGAAAATATTTTGTTTAGGGGTTTGGGACTAGTATACCTATTCATGCTGTAACTGGAAAAAAAAAATACTAATGCAAATGTAACTATATTTACCAATATACAGTACATTCCCCCGAACCAAACGATTTAGCTGTGTTTTCATAACTAATTTATGTTATCAGACAGGTGTATAAACATATAAACAAAATTTAGAGTATAATATTGTAAGCGTACACTATAAAACGCCAGGATTTCTTACATGAATGCCTTTTTAGAACGTTGACGTTGTTATAACCCGGTTAAAGTTGAGATCTGGTACACTTTGTTCATGTTAAAGATTAAAAATTGTGTAGAAATTATATTCATCACACGCCTTACAGATAAACGCACATACTAAACATTTCAAAATGATATTCAATGCTTTTTATTTACAATATTACAACTGATCATGCTAAGATCATAGTTTATAGATGATTTTGATCTAAAAAATTCGCATCAACCTATCTTTGTTTTCAATATTACATATAGGCCTATATCTTCATTTCAATTTCATAAAATATATAAAATAGGATCTATATTTTGTCCTACTTTTCAGCTTATGTATGCGCTTGATGATTCTTATTCTCTTATATATGATTAAAGATTAATTTCATTTGATGTACTTAATTTATTGAATTTGAGATTAATGATTTAAGAGGTTTAATACTATGCGGGTTTTTTTTTTTAATTTTTTAAATAAATTTGGAATTTGTCAGCTTATACAGTGGTATAGGTAATTTTTTACAATTTCACGCTTTGCCTAAATGCAATAAACAATTATATGATATGATTTGATTGTAAAAATATATCAATAAAATCACTATTTTTTTTTCAGATTTGCGAAAGATGACGTGAATTTTTCACTTAACACTGACGATCCACTACACTTTGAAAACACCATGAAAACGGAGGAAGATATTGCAATGAAATATTTTGGTATGACACAAGAAGACATAGTAAAATCGGTAAATATAAAACAGCATTGGCGAGGGAAAAAAAACAAAACAATTTTTGTTCAGACAATTTTTTTATTTTAAGATACAGTATTGCAAAGTTCGTTTCAAACACTATCCAAGTCACTTATGTCCAGGATTTTTTACTGGAAGAAGCGAGAGCGAGTGACAAAAAAGTAAAAACTCATTGTTTTAAACTACATTAACTTTTGCAGATAATGCATTTATTTTCTTATGTTTTTTGTGTTACAGAGAATTCGGGCTGCAGAGGCGTCGTTCTTACCTGATAACGAAAAGATGTCATTGGTTAGACACCTACGAAAGCAGAGTAAGTCTACCGCTACCTGCGTGGCATTATAATCCTATAGATAATGACTCGCTTCAAACGTCTGGCAAGGGCAAGCTAAGAATTGTTCAAAAAGGAAGTGGAGTGTGAGGGGAACCAAATTAGTTAACGGGAACCGAATAGATAAGTGGGGTGCACTAGCAGCAGCAGTGATATGAAGAAGGAGCCAGAGGCCCTATGGAAAGATGTTGTACTTCTATTCTATTTTTTCTTATTTCAATACATGTCATTGGTGGTATGTATAGACATTTAAAAATGGAGTAGCAAAACGGGATGCACGTGCCCCCTCCACCCAATTAAATCTGCCCTTGTTTGAAAATAACGAATATGTGACAGTTTGCTTATATTTCTCATCAAGCCAAATATAAATTTTAAACAATTCATTGCGCAACGAAAAACAACAATATAATGGACCGTATAAAGTTACGAAAGATACCAATAGTCAGCAACAGTGTCTGTATTGATAGAGATATGGGATTGTATAGGATCTACTCAACAAATCACAACCCCAGTAAAAGAACACCCATCAACAAAGTCTTTGAATGAAATTATGAAATGAGCAATGCCGTCTAGGTATTTTAGCACTTATTTTCAATGTAAGTGAGGTGCACATATCAATATTTGCCTGCATGGACCGATTCATGGAAACAGCCTAGAGGCTATTATTATTTTTCATGTTTTTATGGCTAAACACACTAGTCGGTTAAAATTAGTTTAATACTGTAGGCCTATGTCTGTTATCGTTTATTGTAAAGACTACAGTATTGTACAATAGTAGTTATTTAATTAAATAATAATAAATAATTAAATAGCGTGAGACATGTGTATGGTACAGAATTTTAGGTTGGTTACCCAAATGAATGTTTACAGTCCTAATTGAAAGTGTCGATATTAGGACACACATTATGCCTATATGGACGCATTGAAAATCATACGAGATTTTAGAAGATATTCATATTAATTCACCGGACAATCCTTCTGATAAATCCAGTAAGTTTGCTAACCTTAGCTGTGATAGGCCTGTCTCTTATACACATCTAGATGTGTATAAGAGACAGTATATATGATGCATATTTTGATATCTATTGTCCATATTTCGGTCTGCGTACTCCCACGTTGAAGTGGGCCCGAATTATACGGCCGTAGTAAATCGGCAGACCATTAGCCGACGTAAAGCCCGTTTTCCACTAGGCGAATTCATTCGCGCGAATCGAAAGCGTCGGTTCAATATTCCTATCGGAGTTTTTGTGAAGCAAAAAAATGCGCAACCAATCAGAGCTCAGGATGCGAACCGACGCTTTGATTCGCGCGAATAAATTCGATTAGTGGAAAACCAGCTTAATGTGCGCCAGGTTTTAGTAATGTAATTTCTTGGTATACAAAATAAATTATTATTCTGATTCTATTCTATTTTTGTTACTGTACTTTATTATTGAATCGTCATCGCCATGTATGTAGCGTGGCGCCGCATTCATGAATTTATTTTATTTCATTTCATTTTCGTCTCAAAATACGATTTAAAAAAAAAGACGGAGAGACAGGAAATTTAAAAAGATAACTAAATCAACTATCAAGTGGATTGCCGAACAAAAAGGCAATAAACACAAAATAGAAATATATCAAAATCTGCCTTTAGGCCCTAAAATAATCTTTCAAAGCTTTACAAAATATTTAAAATTTAAAATAGGTTTTTCACGCACATTAGTCGGAAAAATCATCACAAAGACGGGGAAAATAATTACAGATAGAATATTTGAAACAATCAGTCCTGGTATAGTTATGAATAAATTTGAAATTACTAAAATGATACCGTAACGTATAAATTAATTTTAATAAGGTTGAAAATTGGAACTTATATTTACCATAAATGCTTCGTTACAAATGAGAGATAGAAAGAAACTTTAAACGATCCTCAACAGAAAGTAAACCAATGATACCAAGTCTTTGCGTATAAAAAGAGGGATGAAACCATGAACGAGTAATCCTTCATTGAATTTTCTCGAGTGAGGAGATATGACCCTTTGATTAGGAAGCCATGCTTGGATATTATATTCAATATTAGGTCGGACAATAGTTTTAAATAGTTTTATAATGCATATGACATTATGATTTCTATACCGGACAATCCTTCTGATAAATCCAGTAAGTTTGCTAACCTTAGCTGTGATAGGCCAATCAGGAAGATGTAAAAAATATTTTTACATCTCCCTGGACCATGCGTGGATTAAGAAAGCAACTACTGTAGGCCTACAGTATTTTATTAAGATCCTGAGTACCGCAGTATAAATTATAGGAATATAATATGGTGTAAATTGTCCTCTGGCCAAAAGGAAAAGTATCTGAGTTTTGATCCCTGTTCAAGCGATGACTATTTTCATAGAGATGAGTACCGTACCACTACCACCCCAATTTGAATTAAACACGCTACTGGCTGGCTCAAGTCGTGATAAAGATGGCGTAACATTTTTTCCACATGTGATATCTTTAGTTGACGCGATGTTGACGCGAAAATTACTTTGTTGACGTGAAATTTGGTCAGTTCATGCTATTTGACGTTGTTGAGCAATTTTGATTGATTCGTTGACGTACAAATGAACAGGTTGATTGCAGTCTTGTCAAAAAGCCGTAAACTAAAATCTTTTATAAGAATGGCAAGCTCATTCAAAGAAGGTCTTTGTCGGGTAAGTTCAGTCATGTATAGCCACAGATCTATTGTCTATGAAACCTAAACTACGTCCCTACCTAGTTTAGGCTAGGACATAGTTTAGAGAGATCTAGACTAGGCCTAGTAATAGGCCCTAGGCTAGCTTAAGTTAGTAAGTAGGGCCTGGCTGGGAGGCCTACTAGTAATACTATCCGTCCGCAGATTTCGCAAAGTAGAGCCTATTTCTGTGTAGATTTTTCCGAAAATTAGGCTTTCCTTTGACCTAATCTTTAAAATATATGAACAATGTAGGCTGTTGTTATTATGCAGTAATTACGATTCTGTGCACCTATTTTCCTAGCGATTTCTCCGCAAATTTGTGCTGGTTTAAATTTTAAGGTACCATCTGCACAATTGAAACATTTTACAGTATGGTGTGCATAGGCGCCTACATACATACAGTATCTCAGAATTTAACAGTGAAAACAGACAGTAGATCAGGAAGTGTAACAGGAAATGACATTAGAATCACAAAGGTCAACCAGTCTTACATAGTCATACCATGTATTTGTATACCTCCATGGTTATACAGTAGGTCAATATTGTGTAGAACTTCTCTCCTATATTTTATCTACTATCTTTCTCTATGATTATATTAAGCCAATCATATTTAAAGTTACTTTTTTCAATACAAGTATCTTCAGTCATTAAATGCTTTTGTATTAACTACTGTATATAAAAAGTATGAAAAAGAAATTCATAATACATTATTTTGTTTATGTTTTGGTCTCAGGTAGAATTGCATTGTCATCTGGATGGTTGCTGTCGGCCAGAGACAATATGGAATATTGCTAAGTAGGTAGATTACAAGCACATTAAATGATGTATCTGTAGACACAGTTCATCATCCTGTTAACTACGTGCTGTGTACCTCTACATTCTTCAATAATGATTGATAATGATAATGACAGGTTTTATCTTTGTTAGTTGATTTGAAAATAAAATAAAACAACAATTTAATGAAACAAATATTAAAACAATCATAAAGAAGATGACGATGGTGATACTAATAATTAGGTGATGATGGTGATACAAATAATTCTGATGATTCTAATATGATTGATGATTGATTGATTTGAAGAGACCTATTGAAAGATACATTGTGTATTTCACCTCAGTTTTCTTTTTTTTGGCTTAATTAAGTAAACAAACATTATCTATAATTTTATTGATAATCATATTTTTTTCAATGATTTCTTTACCTTCAAACAGACGGCGTGGTATGATGGATGCACTTCCAGGAAATACCTTGGAAGAATTTTTAACAGAGTTGCGAGTGTCTGGAAGTGGAACTCTTGCGAAGTTTCTACATAGTTTTGAAATATATATGCCAGTTTTAAAGTAAGTTTCAGTCTCTAAAGAATTGTTTTTATTTTTTTAATTTTATTTCAACCATCTTTAAAGAGGGTAACCCTTCCAGTTTAGCCCAGTAGGTTAACTGATATTCAGGGGCCCTCTTTAATAAAATCAAAGAACAGTACAAACAACATCATTACAACATAATAATAACAATAATAATAATATAATAATAATAATAATAATAATAATAATAATTATTGGTCTTACAGTAGGCTGATGGCCCTACTTCAAATCATAATAATATAGCATAGTGCATGTCACAGCCTGGCTATGGTGCTTAAATTTATAATGTCCTGTTTATAAATTTAAAATCAAGAAAACCCTCAGATATTCAATAAAATCTTGAATTGCTCCTTAAAAATGTTAATATTGCTAATGGACATAGATCAACGTAGATCAAAACAAATACTGATAAACGTCCCTTTTAGTGCCTCATTTGGAATAAATGAATCTCTCGAATCAACGCTCTAGGCCATTTATTTTTCTTCAAATAAACACCCCCCCCCCCAAAAAAAAAAGGCTGTAAACAAAACTAGTGGAAGTAACATCATTCTCAATATATTCTATATGTTCAACTCCAGTATAATTACATTTGTTCTAACCTGGTTGGGATCAATAAGTCTTAATGATCATGCATTTACACATTGTTAGGGTAATTATGTGTTGTAGTTACAGTGAAATTAAGTTTATTTGAGTATATACATACAGTACCAATTTTACACTAAAAACGTCTCCCTCGAATAGACGCCCAATCAAAAATTTTTCTCATTAAATTAGCGGTCAGGGGTGTTTATTTGAATACATATAGGTAATTGTTCATTTTTTATTATTGAAATCCTTAAATTACACAATAAACCAATCTCCACCCATTAGATTTTGCTTGGAACATCGAAAAATATATCCTTTATTATATTAGGGGTGATCGGGTTGGCATCAAGGAAATTGCAACAGAACTTTGTCAAGATAAGATGAATGATGGTGCTGTTTATTTTGAAGCAACATACTGCCCCCATTTTTTGTCAGATGATAACCTCACAACAGAGGAAGTGGTGCAGCTTGTAAATGAAGGCTTCAAAGAGGGCGAGAAGAAATTTGGTGTGAAGGCACGAAGTATACTGTGTATGATTAGAGACAAGCCAGGTGAATAACATGTTAAAAGTTTTAGAATTTTGTATCTTGTAGGAATTGTTGACAAAAAAAAATGTGTATGCATTTCTGATTTTGCATAGTTATAAACAGAGATGGTAGGTAATCATTGGATTTACTGGCATTTTCTAAACCATCATGACCTGGTTAGTGCAAAAAAGTGTTGTTATCCGCCAGGGCCCAGCCATTAAAGCTTGGTTTCCATACAATTGCTACACTGTCGCTACAGTTTTTTACTGCAATCGTTGATCTGCGTAGCTGTCCCCGACGCAATCGGGAATGCTCCTTGGTGCAGCCAATCACCGTCGCCAAAGGAGTCGGCGATATCGTGTAGCGATTTTTATGGAAACCAGACTTAATTTTGATATTGTAATTTCAGTTTTTGACAAGTCTTAATACAGTAAATTTGGTATGTATGTATTCAGAGTGGTGCAGAGAGATGGTAGAACTGTGTGACAAATACCGCAGTGAGGGAGTTGTCGGCATTGGTATAGCTGGCGATGAATCAGTAGCCCTAGAAATCGATTTTTACCAAGGAGTGAAGGTACAGTGATTTCCAAATTTCTATGTCAACATTGATTAATAAATTGCCTTTTTATTATTGGGGTTTCTTTCACATCAAAAAAGTCACTCACAACTTAGAGCAGTTGTTCTCAACCTTTTTGCATACACGGCCCCCTCGGGACATGTCAGAAATTTCCACGGACCCCCATGTCGAAGTATTACTCATTGTTTGATGTTCCAATTTATTAAGATTATAGATATAAGATGATTGGCCACAAATTAGAACTTTAAAGAGTGCCAAATAGCGGAATTTGAAATATAAACCACCTCAGCCCGCCGTAGTTGGGGCTGAGGTACAACATTTTTATATCTATGGCACTTCTTGTGGGCTGTCAGACTCAAAATTTGATTGTTAATTTTCTTTTATGCCTCATTTATTTAAGGCAACTCATGGTTGATATTCCACTAATAAGATTATAGATAGAAGATGATTCGCCACAGAAACGGTTAATGAGATACACTTTTTTTAATAATTAAAAACTTGGGGGAAAAAGGACTTACATTACACCCTTTTTTCCACTCTTTTTACCCTAGTTTTTAAATATACAAAAATCTGTATCTCATTTATCATTATTTTTTTTTGGGTCAAGCACCCTTTTTGTGTCTTAGAAAAATCAGTTGTACAACATATCAAAAAATTGTTTTCCTCTGGAGCTTGACTTAAAGAGTGAGTGGAGTCTCAGGACTTGAACCAATGGCCTTGAAAATGGGAAGGCAAGTGGTAAAGTTTTAAGGCTCAAAAACAGCATTGTGAAAGATAAACCACAGCCTTAAGCAATCAGTACATATTAAGGTGTCTATTAATAAAGGTAATGATCATTATCAGAATCATCATTATCATCCTCATCAAAATTATCATTGTCATTATCAGGATTGTGATAATAAATAATACTTGATGCACACAATTCAAATAACTATATTATAACAACATTAACAACAACTATAAAAAAAAATGGCTTGTATGAACACACTTTTTTGTGCAGAAACATTTTAATTTTATGCAAACAATTTTTATTTGTCAGGAAGCTATTGAACGTAATATATGTAGAACAATACATGCAGGAGAATCTGGTCCAGCCTCAAATGTTCAGGAAGCCATTGAAGTGTTCAAAGCTCAGAGAGTAGGTCATGGTTACCATTGTGTAGAAGACGACAATGTTTATGAGGTAAGTGTTGCTGTGCACTAATATATTATGATCGTCATTAAACCTGCAGCAACCACATTGATTGCAAGATTCTTTGCTTGGCGATAATCTACTTTGTAATGTTGCTGATACAGTTCAAGTGAAACACTACATCCATTTAAACCATTCTTTAAATACATGTGTATTGAAATTGTATTTACACACATGAAAGAATATGCCATTGGTGGTACAATGATTTACTTGGTTTTGTATCTTTATGTTTGTAAGTTTGATTTCACGGTCTGTTTCCTTTATATTTTCTTGCATTGTTGCTAGGTGCCTCAAAGTATTTTCATTGTGAGGGTGATACATAAATCATCAGTTATTATCTGTTATTATATTACTGTACTTCATTGCAAAAGACAACAACAATAATACATTGACACATTGTGATCACCTACTGAGTGGGTGGTAACAATAACCTGGACTTCAGTGTTAAAACATGAAATTATTCAAATGTCACATCCTTAAATTAGTATAGTATATATTTGTTAAACAAAACTTATACTCTATTTTACATTAAATTATTACAGTATTTAAGAAAATGAGTGGAGTTCAACATGTTAAAATGATGATGATGTCAATGAGTTTATAGTGGAGTTTACACTTTTGTATTAAAAAATGTTTTTTTCTGAACAGTTAGTTAAGAAGACAGGTGTTCATTTGGAAGTTTGCCCAACATCTAGCAATGTGCTTGGCAATGTCAGTCCAGATTGGACCAAGCATCCTGCTATAAGGTCAGTACCTGTTGTGTTACTTTGCAATTGATAAATAATTAAAAATCAGTTTAACCTGATGAACTCTTCTACAATGCAGTTAATTAATAAGTAATAACTTAGATCTGGTAATAAAGTATCTACCTCTTTGTACTGTAAAGCTCTGTCTACACTATCAAATTTTGTGTGACAAAAAAGTGTGATATGCCCATATATGGGCTTGATGACATCACACCATGACCATATATAGGCATAGCATTACTATATATGGGCATGTCACATTTTTTTGTCAAAGAAAATTGGATAGTGTGGATAGAGCTTAAGCTTAAAATTTGTTAAAGAAAATGTCTTATCACAGTGTATGATTCCTGGGCTGATGAAAAGCTTACACGTTATACACATCCTATTTGCATTTTAATGTTTATGTATTGTTCGAAGGTTTGCATGTTGAAGCAATAATATCTTAAATGCTTGCTTTACACCCGTTAGCATTTAAGATATGAATGTTTTTGTAAGAATAACAATATTTTATATTAACAAAAATTTACTGTATATAAATGTTTTTATGGGTGACTCATGAACTTGACTTCAACTACTGTTGGAGGCTATTCCATGCATCAAGTACCCAACAAGTAAAGGAAGCCTTTCTTGTATCCAGCCTTGAAAAAGTCATAAACTAATGCATAACAAAGCATTGACAGTTTAAAGTAATACCCTCTTGTTTGTTGAGACAACCGAAAATTAAGTGAAAGAGTTATTATTTTGTGTAGTAGATCTTTTAGAACTTTAGATAAGTCAGCTCTCCAATCATATTTTAACTAGATAATTAATAAAGGTAGATCCCTGAAAAAGCGAAACATGAAAAGTTGCAGTGCAGGTATAATTGTTTTGTGTACTACATTGTTGAACCAAGAGATTTGCCTCATCAGCTATTCTAAGCGTGATTGGACATATTAATAATGAGTAAATTTGAACAGTGTCTCTCTTTTGGAATTCACCCTTTTTCTTTCTTTTATTTCTATGTGGCCTTCTTGTGCAGTGTTCCATGGAAATCTGTAATATATTTATAGCAATTAATTGTATTGACATTTTTTATATTTATTTTGTAAGTTTAATAAATAAATTTAATGTATAAATCCGAATTTAATGTATAATCTCAATTGTAAATAAAATTATTTAATTCATTTTTTGACCATAAAATCTCACTCCTCCTGAATTGTTCACGTTAAACCACCACACAATTTGACCACAAATCGTACGTACTACACATGCCTATTAGAAATAGTTATTGTACAAATAAATCTGTTTTATGAACCACCAATTTCCTTGGTTTGACGACGTTCATGAAATTTAGTGTCTGCTATAGGCTGTTTCAGTAAAAGTTTTTGACTTTCCAAGCAGTTTTTGAAGCAAAGAGATCTAGGTCGGCAAAAAATTTCCGTCCTGTAGCAATTCTGGCTCGGCAATATGGTCAGCAATTGCCGATTGCCAACGTGAAATTCGTGGGCTGTATTTTCTGATAAAGTCATGTATCATGCATGGGAACGTTGGCGTCTGCAAGGCTCTGGTTATTTAAGAGGAACTGTTTAGAATTTTACGAATTGTATATATCGTTTTTTTTGTTGAATTTCATGACTATTCTTTCTATACTGATCTTTTGTCGTTCTTCATTTCAACCATGTGTTGTATTTTGAGTATTTTTAAACCGATTAGATAAAAAAATAATAAAAAAAAGTAATAGGTATTATATTCTCACAGATTACAATAAGATAAACATGCTCTAATAATGATGAATGGTGAAATGCTGTGACTTACAATTTCAATATACGTATGGATATTCCATATCTTAACAGGTTTGCTAAAGACAATGTGAATTTCTCATTGAATACGGATGACACTCTTCACTTCAATAACTCACTTCAGACAGAAGAGGATATTGCAATGAAATATTTTGGAATGTCAAAAGAAGATATTATAACAGCCGTAAGTTTTGCAACCCTTTAACTTGGACTAATGTTTACTTTAAACATTAAAATATATACTGTCATGTAAATATAATAAATGTGATAATGAATAAAGATACTTGCCTCATTTTTTAAATAAATTATTAGCTTTAAATCAAAAATTGCCAATTATGGACATTTAGTAATAATAATACATGCATATATTATAATTATAATAATTATTATTGGGTTCCCCGCTTTAGTGGAAAAACCATTGTTTTTGTTGATATATTTTTCTTCCACTCTATCCAGTTTACCCATGTTTTTGCACAGGATTTTTCTGTTCGGCACTTTAGTAAATCCTTGCTTGGACGTTCTTCAAACTTTGTCAACACAAAGACCATATTTCAAAGATTTGCATATTAAAATATGATGTCATCCTACATATTTCCGATATAAATAAATAGGTAATTGTTTTAATGCATTTGCGTTTTCTAGAGGTTTTCAAACTAGCTATCAGCAATGTTGAACTCAAAATTACCATGAAATGTTTTGACCTTAACCTGTGAAATTATGCAAGTTAGAGAAACTAAAATTCACTGCCCTCCATAGGGTTAGGTTCTGTAGCCATATGGTTAGAACTATCCACATCACCCTAACCAAAACCGCTGCAGCCCTGGTTTGAGTCGCAGTAGCTTCAAGTGATATTTCATGATTTATTTTTACATAATTGTTTTATATACAATTTTGTTATTTCAACATCAGTTATTAATATATCAATGAGGAAAAGTCCTATGTTCTGTTTTACAAAGAGGCATAATAAATCTTGTCATTATTATAATTATTATTATTGTTATTATTATTATTATCCAATGTATTTCTGCTGCTTAACACATTTTAGCACTTTAGATACACCTCTTCCATTGTATTTCATAATACAGGTCTCCCTCTAATTAAAGACCACTTTTGGGACCGAGGTTTCCATGGTGTTTAGCAGCTTTGGACCCTATTATAATAAAGATAATAGACATTTGTTAATTTGATAAAACAGAAAACTGGTCTTTAATAGGAGGTGGTCTTTTATTAGAGGAAGACCCGTATAATCATGCAACTTAATAAATTAAAGCTCTTCACTATAATTATATATAACTATTATATTACAGAGAGTATATGCAGCTGAGGCTACATTTCTGCCAGAAGGAGAAAAAAGAGAATTGGTTGAACATGTGAAAAAATTTAGTGTATCTGTATAGAGAGTAATTTGCAGTTTTCCCATTAGAATTTCCCACAATAACTTAACTGTCAGCCTTTATAATATTATAAATTCAACAGTACAGTGTTTTAAAAGAAAGTGATACACAGTATTTGTCAGTAAATGACTTTCAACTATAAAAATATCAAATTAATGTAATATGTTGCAAAATAGAGGAAATTTAATTTCCTGATCTTTATTAGGTTCTTCAAATAACCAAAACCCATGAATGTCTGTTGTTGTACGTCTCCATGTTTATTTTGCATTAGTTTGGTGGTGGTGGTGGTGGTGGAGGTGGTAATAAATTATTTGTTTGGTACCTGAGTGTGTGATTATAATAATTGCTCTTTTTTACATAATCAATACTGAATCCAGGGATGTAGTTATGGTAGGTAGGGCCACCCAGCCTTGAGGATTTCCACCCAGTCGAAAGCTAATTTCATGGCCCTCTCCATCCACCCTTATTAACCCACTTTTCCATCCTTAAAATCCACTCTTATTATTTAGAGTTTACCAATGTTATCACAACATCCACCCTCAAAATATTTATCACCCTTGGTTTTCTTCAGTTACAACCCTAACTTAATACCAAAACATAATTGTATTTTTTTCATTTAAATGTAAAAGAATAAAAGATGCTTCAATTTTCAGGAAACAAATACAATATTCTAGTCAGATATTAAGCTTGGATTAAGCCTAATTAACATTCTGCTGAAAAAAGGCTTTTCAGAATAAAGGTCACAGATGTATTCATATAATTATAATCTTTGATGAATAAGATTTTCATATTATTTGTAAATATTAGCTCAAAAATATCCTACTGCAGACTAAATTCAGTATTTTTTACAATTGGACTACTGAAATGTTCCTGTATTTTTGTTATGTAATTTGATACCTAGTTTAATGCTCTTTTATTCATGTTGGTATAAAATGTCTTTAAATGAAAGAGGTGAATACATTATAAAATGCATAGTAATTTACAAGAAATATGAAATTTTCTCTATGGAATTCGCAAGAAAGTTTATCTAAAAATATGTATTATAATAGTCTCTTAGGAGATCATGTATTAATGATATTATAAAAGTTAATATCTTGCAGTACTTACATATCCATACAAAGTATTAAGGAAGCAAGCAATCTAAATATTATTTGTTATATTATTGTTTCCTTGGCGATGATGGACTAGCTTTTTGAAAAGCAGATGGCTAATGAAAAAATCAATAATTGAGTCAAACAACTTCACAATTCCGCAGCAGAAACATAGACAAGCATTATTCAAAAAAGATGTGCTTTCACTCTACTGGATAGTGGAACTCAGGAGGAACTTCCTGTTATATTCCATTGTTTTCAGATTTAGTTACAATGGACCTTTCCACTAAGCCCCGCCCCTTGGATACCGCTGCTAAGGTACCACAAAACGACAGTAGGGAGCTTTCGATTGCACAACGTTAACTAACCGTTAAGCTGAAGTGCGTCCATACGAGATAATATAAAATATGATGATCAAATCACTGGCCAATAAGAAACTGGAAATTGTAAACGCGTACGTGTGATTGGTTGATGATAGAAATGCGCTCAACTTGCTAACCGATAGCGCTTGCTAACCATTAGCGGCATCCGGATACTGCTAACGGTTAGCGTTAACCAATCGGGCGCTCTCACGCAGGTGCTAACCGTTAGCGCTAACGGTTAGCTCCCGATTCGGATACTAGGGCTCTCGTGAGAACCAGGCTAATTATTGAGAAAGGAGATCACTCGAAAAAGCTACGCGCACGCAGCGCTATGCAAATGGCCAAGATCAAAGCTGCCGCAGCGCGTGAAGAACATTAGCGCAATACCTTTGAAGTCCGATGTGTTCCCCGCCATTAAATTTTCAGCAGGCATAGTTTACCAAAAAATTGAACATGGCAAAACGGAGAGCACCTACTTTTCTCGATGCGCACTTCATACAGTCAATTGCTATGGCTGCGCAGTTTCCATTTTGAAGCTGATACATTTATCTCTCATAAAATATCAAACATATTAATATTTTCCACCAAAAAAAGTTTCGAATTTAATGGAACATTTACATGACCTTTAAAATTATAGTATATTTCAACTTGAATTTTCATAAATTGGCCAAAATTCGCTAATTCTAATTTTAATAGATATTAATTAATAAATGATTGAGGATTATAATAAACTAAGTCATTTTAGGGTTAACGAGGGTTAACTATTCGAAAAATCAATCCAAAATCTGAGTATTTTTCAGTTTTACGCTGATTTAGCTTTATGGTAGAACCAATCAATCTTTAGACAGAATTATAATGAACACCGAAGTAATTTTAACATAAATATTTTACGGAATCCGTTCCTGAAATATACAAATAATAACATACTAAAAGTCCGAAAAAATTCTAATCAGGGGAACATTGTTCATTATAAATATATTTAATGGATTAAAATCAAACGCTTTATTGCACAACTGCTCTGCTGGAAGCGTATAAATGCATATCGTTGCCAAGTTGTTGCTAACGAAAAGATGTGAATTATAGGGGGGTAATACGCCCGAGCGCGATCCAAAGGCGGGGAACATGGTTTGTTGCGTCAAAGGGATCTGTTGCCGAGAAGTGATCTCCTTCTCAAAAACCTCCATGGTAGGGCGTAGAACGTAATGACGTCACTAAAAGTCATCTGCGCATGCGAAAACGTTAAGGTCACCTCGTGGAGTAGATTCTGGAACGCGAATTTGGCCAAATCTACATATGCAGCTCGAAAGGTCAGTTGACTGTTGAACACATACGGTTTTATTCGAAAAAGGAGTAAAATAATATCCAGGAAACATTAATGGTTTTCTTTATTTCAAGAGTATCGAATCTATACTTCAAACGTAAAAAAAATATTATAGTTCGTCACACTTATAAAAATGGAGGTGCTGCAGTGATGATATAGAGTAAGTTAACAACTAAACGAATTTGTTATTTGTTATCAAATATCATGTTCTCATTGGCCAGTTAATAATTTTTATCAACCTCAAAAGGTCAGTTGACTGTTGAACACATACGGTTTTATTCGAAAAAGGAGTAAAATAATATCCAGGAAACATTAATAGTTTTCTTTATTTCAAGAGTATCGAATCTATAATTCAAACGTAAAAAAAGAAATTATAGTTCGTCACACTTATAAAAATGAAGGTGCTGCAGTGATGATATAGAGTAAGTTAACAACTAAACGAATTTGTTATTTGGTGTAGGCCTATATGCAAATCATTTATACTAAAAAGAATTACTCAAATTCGAAGTAAATAAAAAATTTATGGTATTTAGGCCTGGTACAGTACTGCAAAATGAATGTACTCTAATGTGGCTATTATAATGCTATAATGGAAGCTATAACGGAGTATATTTTATAGTATTTCATTTTTCAAATTCACAAAATTGTGTGATAGAATTGCAATTGTATCTGTCTCAAACATTGTTTTTGTTAACTTGATGTAACGATATCGATCAGTGTTGCAACTATATTTCCCGACTTTAAAACGGGTAACAACAGCAACTGTGATGTAATAGATACCGTAATTTACTGATATTCAGTAAAGTGATTGCGAAAGTGATTACAAGTAGAAGTCCCTTGATGTTCCATTCTTTCAAAATTATTTGGCAGTGGAAATCAAAAGGAAAATTGCATTGGAGAACAACAGATTAATGTTTTTTCATTATATTAACTGGAAAATTAATTAACTGGTTCTTAGTAAATATGCAAATACTGTATAATAATAAAGTTGATATTATTCTTGTGTTCCTTGAGTAAGACATAATTGCTTGCAAATGTTGCTTTCGTTTGTTTTACGGTACGTATATACAATAAAGAAATGAAATATTGAATCCCACAAGAATGGCTTGTATATCTTTGGTTGGAGTATGCATTAGCTTACACTTTATTTAATTTTATTTCACTTATTTCTTTTATATTTTTTATTTTTTAGCTGATACGTCGACGAGAAATAAAGATAGTAGTAAAGTTCATAGAAATGTCCAGAAAATAATGATTCATACAATTTACATATTAGTGATAAAATTAATTATTTCTTTTTTATTTATTTTTTTTTTTTTTTAGCTGATACGTCGACGAGATATAAAGATAGTAGTAAAGTTCATAGAAATGTCCAGAAAATAATGATTCATACAATTTACGTATTAGTGATAAAATTAATTGTAAAACATTTGCTGAAACATGCATTGTACTGTACGTGATTGCATAATGTAATAATTTCATTTGAGGTATGCTAGCACATTGAGCCAATACTGAGAGATGGAAACATGGGTAGGAGGATGAAACATACCTCCCCAAATGCAAGTCCTCTTACGACCATAATAAAAGAAAGGATTTTGTCATAACTGAAATGCATGTTACAATAGCACACTTAAAAGTTTGTGTGTAATGTGGCACCTGCAGGTTAACAAACCTATCTTCAGAAAACAGCATTATTTCCCGCGGCGGTTTCCGCTCCATTCACTACCACTTCTACGGGCAATCGTGAGTTATAGGCATACGTACTTGGATCTGTTCACACTGAAACGTCCAACCCAATGTAGGCGACCGAGGGGAGAAATGATCTTGATTTTTATTGAGTTTCGCAATTCTCACTCGGGTCAAATTCATTGGATGATGAAAGTGAGTATTTTGATTCAGCTTTACTTACAGCATGGTTACCTGATTTCATAGCAACAACGGCTGTCGCTTCACGACGTATTTTATAGTCTGCTCCTTAATTAAGGGGGTGGGGGTGTGGTGGCCCCCCCTGGCCGATTTGTTGCTATTGAAAAAGTATCTCGGAGCTCTTTAACGTCTAAGGCGATGGATTTAGCCAGTGATAAGTTGACGACACTGAAATACCCATACTTCTGGGCAGAAAGAAGCAATGCAGATAAAGTGCCCATGCTCAAAAACCAGTGACAGATACTATACTATTTGTTACCAAAGTTGTTTTAATTGACCTAATCCCAATGGTCTGCGAACTAATAGGCGAAAGTAATTCTTTTTAGCCAGGACGTAATTCTTTGTTAAAATGAAACACACTTTACGTATTTAACGATCGTGCAAGAAAGTGAAATCGATGCAAGAGCGCGTGCATTACACTTCATTGTTTGCTTTAGCTCCAAGATCAAATACTGTGCTGTCGTTACTAACAACAAAACAGCTTTATAAATAACCTAGATATCATATTACGGTACGGTTTATTTGTAAGTTTGTTGTCAATAATAGTAATAATAATAATAGTTTTCATTTCTAATGATTTGTGACTAGCTGACGTATCACAACCCTAGGAATCCACAGTTG